GACACCGACCACCCCGACCACGCCGACGACCCCAACGACCCCGACGACCCCAACGACGCCGACCACCCCAACGACCCCGACCACCCCAACGACCCCGACCACCTCGATACCCCGAACTTAGGTTCTTTATCCTAGCTAGAGATGCCCTAACAAACGGTGTTTAAGCTAGTGTACCTAAGATAGGAATCTCACCCAAGCCATGTTGCTCATCTAATTAAGGCTTAGTTCACCTTCAATATTCCTCTATCTCTTTTTTGTATTTTGTAATGTGTTTCTTTACCTGAACAATAAAATTATTATAAGGATATGTATAGTCTCATGAAGCATATGTAAAGGCCCATGTCTGAGCAAGATGGGTCTCAAAACAAGTCTCTTTAATTATATGAAATATTAATTTCAAATTATTATGATTTTGGTAACAATTTAAGTATTTTTCTCTTTTATATTTCTTGCATAATAATTAATAAAGCTTAATTAATGAGCTATGTCATTTTTAGTTTTAGTCTTTTAGATTTCTATTTTAATAAGGTCAATTGAGCATGAATCTATCTTGCCTAGAAATATCTTCTTCAAGTACATATCAATCGAAGTTGTTGTTTATTCATTTGAGCATAAATCTATCTTGCCTAGAAATATCTTCAAGTATATCAATCGAAGTTGTTGTTTATTTATTTTCTTATTTTATATTTTGATAACCCAAGTTATATCCCTAGATTTATGTTATGGTGATAGATAGGTATAAAGGCATGCCTCGCAAATCCTTTCCCCAACAAAGAAACCATACTTGTCAAGTCCTAGGTTATGTTCTTCGTGGCTAACATGTTGTGTGGTGTTTTCATCAATTATCTTGAATGGTGGAACATCTTCCTCTTCTTCTGGTTCGTCTTTAATTTCTTTGCCGTCCCATACATCTTCTCTAGTAGCACATTTGGTATGAAACACATAGCTCGGACACCTCTTACAAGAAAAATTAACCACCACAACTCCAATCCATTTTCTCACGGAAATCCAGAGCAATCATCGTGACTAGTGAAATCACAGGGAAGACATACATATGGGCTCCTATATATCTCCATTTAGCCAGCAAGTGGTACAAGTAAAAGAGATGGACTTTGGCATAAGGGTGAGCTGATGGTCATGGATGTTTAGGTCGTGACGATATTGTGTTGGTGGCTGATATACACATTGAAGATCTAAGCTAAAGTCACAAGCAGAACAATGATAAAAGGCTTAAGAATTAGCAAGCCTTTCTCCACACAAAGGACATTTTCCATCACTATAAGCAGGTGGTTCATCCTTGAAGAGGTTTAGAGCATGTAAGGAGTGGGAAGGATGTGTTATTTCTGCCGCATACGTTTAACAATTTATGTGAAATGTCAAATTGCATTCACAACAGTTGTATGGATATCCATCACCATCTTTTCCACAAGTACCACATTAAATCAACTTTTTACCATCTCTAGCTTGAGTTTATGTTCATGGTGCTGAGGAACATCAGTGACCTCCCACGGTGGATACTTGGCACAACTGAAATGGAAATATGAAGAACCAAACCTTCCTTTTCTTCTAGTTGGTACTAAAACATCCTGCAATTCTTATAAATGGTTAGTCACAAAAAAAATGAAGAAGAAAGAAATAAAACCAAAATGTGACTATGTGAGTAGGTATGAGAAACCAAGCTGTGGTTGGCTGTTGATTCCATCTTCATGTAGAGTCACGGATCGTAATAACAAAAATATTCATAAGCTGGAATTTTTATGTTTATGCATAAATAAGATAAAACCAAAAAAAAAAGTAATGAAGGGTAAACAGAAAAAGTAAACAAAGATATTAAACAAGTAATATTTTTGTTTTTTTTGTTTGTATCCATCGGCAATAATTTGCATGTAGAAATGAAAGATTCACGTTGATGTCTATGTTCTATGTATGTTTGTTGAACATGAAATATGGGGTATGAAAAGGCTCTGACACTCTCTATGTAGAAAATAAATTTGCGTCATATCATTTAAATATCTTTGTTATGATTGCGAATATACAAATTTTGTTATCTTTGCGTAGGATTTTTTGTACTACAAAAATTTCATTGATTTTTTTTAGTACTAGGTATATTTTTTGTGAGATAATGTTCACGCATATCGACTTACGAAATACGCAAGCACGTAGCTTTTGTTTTTCTCATATAAGTTAGTCGGTTCCAAATTAGTTTTTTTCGAAAATAGTCATTTCCGATAATTTAATATATACGATTTGATTTCATATATATATATATATATATATATATATATATATATTCATATATGTATTCTTGTGTTTTTTACACCAACATTGTTCATTTCGCTAACTTAGTTACAAATTTTCACTTTTGCACAAACCAAATTTTAATACAATAAAAAATACAAGTGAAAGGGTTCTTTGATGATTTATCTTAAAAAAAAAGAGAGGGTAAAAATCAAGTTGTAAGACATGATAAATCAGTTGCGCCCTTGCCTTAAAATGTGAAATCCTTATTTAGATCTACAAGGTTATGGATCACATAGAGTTTAGGAAAATAATTGCATTATACCATGGTCACATGTAAAAAAAATAATAGTTTTTTTTTCTTTTTCTTTTGTGTGTGCGCACTAAAAGTTAGGGTGGATTTCGATTTTAGAAAAAAAAATTAAAGATAAAATATAGGTTAAAAAATATCATGATATTTTGTTTCTTTAATAAATTTAATTTTCAAATAATGATATTTTTTAGGTTGGTAAATGGCAACAAAAACGAAGAGGCAAAGTCAACCTGGTAAGTATATTCAAAGCCACTCCTTTCATATATTTGTTTATCTTATCATCTTCAGAATTATATTTTTGCCTCTCAATTTCCATTACAATTCACTACAAAATAAAAAAGTGTTAATGTGATTTTGTATCTACATATAGATGTAACGTCGGTCATATAAATTGACACGGTAGTAAACATTATGTCGTTTATTCAACCAACTTGTTAAGGGATGGGCCAAAGAGACGACGTACGTTATATCTCAACTACAGTAATAGTATAACTCTTATCTCTATTTCCCCTTTATGCATGCACAATAGAAAAGAGAGTCTATTTTCTTGTCGGAGTCTGTGTGGAACTATTATGTATATTTTTGGAAAGAACATATGTAATGGAGTGATGATGACACATATCATGATCCACATAATACTTTCTGATTTAAGCAACTAAAGCTTGCAAACTTACATATTAACAATTCAAATTAATATCTCATAGAAAAACAAAAGATTATTTGATAAAGTTTTAAGTACGGAAAACATAAATTTAAAATTTATGAAACTTGATTTAATCGACAATTATATTTACTAATAATATAGAGTTTTAGGGATGATTAAAGTTTCACTATTCGTCGAGCCAAAACCCTATAAATAGATAGATTCACTACACTTGAAAGAATACTAAAACTAAACTACTACTACTTCTTTAACCCTACCCTTTTTGTTGGGAGCTTTTCCACTCAATCGAACAAATGACTCCAAGAAACTCTCTTACTCTCTTCCTTGCTTTTAGCCTCCTCGTCTTCACTTCCACATCTGCCAGATTATTGTCAGGGCTCCCTGTCCTCCCGGTCCTCCCAGTCCTCCCGGTCATCCCTGTCATCCCTGTCATCCCGGTTATTCCGGTTATCCCGGTCATCCCTGTCATCCCGGTCATCCCGCTCATCTCAACGTCAACGACACCTACCACCCCGACCACGCCGACCACGCCAACCACCCCAACGACCCCGACCACCCCAACGACCCCGACCACCCCAACGACCCCGACCACCTCGATACCCCGAACTTAGGTTCTTTATCCTAGCTAGAGATGCCCTAACAAACGGTGTTTAAGCTAGTGTATCTAAGATTGGAATCTCACCCAAGCCATGTTGCTCATCTAATTAAGGCTTAATTACGTTCACCTTCAATATTCCTCTATCTTTGTAATGTGTTTTTTTACCTGAACAATAAGGCTATTATATGTAAGGACGATATCCATATAAGTCCAATATATAAGCATATGTAAAGGCCCATGTCTGAGCAAGATGGGTCTCAAAACAACTCTCTTTAACTAAAATATTAATTTTGAATCATTGTGATTTTGGTGAAAATTTAAGTATTTCTCTCTCTTACATTTCGTGCATAAATAAAGCTCAATGAGCTATTTCATTTTTAGTTTTAGGCCTTTAGATTTCTATTTTCATTAAGCTGATTTGATTATGAATCTATCTTGCCTAAAAATATCTTCAAGTATGTATATCAATCGAAGTTGTTGTTTATTTATTTTAATATTTTATATTTTGATAACTCAGTGTAAATCCATAGGTTTATGGAGGGGTACGAGATTAATTGTTAGGAAAGGTGCAACCTCTGGATATACCCTTTCTCCAAATATGCAAATGGATCAAAATCAGAGTTCATAGCTCAGAAAGCTATGCTTTTATCATATTGATATTATCTGATATTCATTTGTGAACATTTCCAAAACTTATATTTCATTTTTTCAATATAAAATCTCCATTTCATCTTTACTATACCTATTAATTAATTGGAAATTATTCCTGCTACACACAAAATTCTTGCTTTATTTAACCAAGAAAAAACCATAATCTTTTGATAAAGAACGCTCAGTTGGATGAGAATATTACATCTACTACATATTTTGAAAATTGCTATACAAAAAAAAAAAGAATAAAATTCCATTATTTCAAAAACAGAACTGAATCGGTAACAAGACTACGTAATTAATTTAAACACCATGGGTCTCTTCTTTTCTTTCTAAATTAGAAACCACCGAAAGAGTAACGAAGATGCGTGGTGATAAAAGAAGATAAACTAAGCTTAGTATTGGAATTTTTTTGGCTTTTTGCTTGACTGTCTTGACATCTTCAGTGATCACGATATCCATTCATTTTTTTTTTAATTTACCAATAAAAAAGAAAAAACTAAAAACAACAACATATATTAATTTATAACAAGAGTTTAGGAAAAGAAACAAGATTCACAACAATAGTTTTCGTAACAAAGGGAACTTTCATTCCAAGTTTTCAAGAAAACTGGGAATATGCAACGAGACTTGCATTGTTTGCAAAGTGGTCGAGAGATATTGTTATTGCGAACCACCTCAAAGTATTTACTAACGTCGTGGACGTAGGTTGATTCTTTACTTCCTGGCTTAAGACCTCGGAAATCACCAAGCACACAATCCGTATGCAAAGTAAGCTCACAATCTTTAGAGGTGTAAAACCATCTTCTTGGATCTGTTTCTTTCTCACAAATATCACACCAATATATACCACTTGCATCATCTTCACCATAGCATAAAGTGAGAAAGTTTCGGTCGACATTATGCTTTACCTCATATGGTAATAGAGCGCACTTGTAGTCCATGACGTATTCACAATCATCTTCAACGCATCTGAGCACATGATGTCCTTCTTTCTTGCAAACGCTGCAAAGTCCTCGTGGCGATGTATAAAATAATGGATGAGGATGGCTTTTATGAACAAATGGCTCAGTAACTGAAGCACATCGCACGTCTAATGATCTTTCATTTTCGTATCTAAAACCATTGGAAAGCAACCCACAAGCAGTACATCTAATGAAATAACTCCAGTATTTATATTTATGCTGGTCAGTGCTTACCACATGTCGTTTCCATAGAGGTAGATATGCGCAACTCTCATGGAGAATGAAACTACAACTCATGCAGCTGTAGAAGGAATCATGATAAATAGGATAAAGACATGCCTCACAAATCCTTTCCTCAACAAAGATACCAGACTTGTCAAGTCCTAGGTTATGGTCTTTGTGGCTAACATGTTGTATGGTGTTTTCATCGATTATTTTGAATGGTGGAACATCTTCCTCTTCTTCTGGTTCGTCTTTCATTTCTGTGCCGTCCCATACATCGTCTCTAGTAGCACATTTGGTATGAAACACATAGCTCGGACACCTCTTACAAGAAAAACCACCACAACTCCAATCCATTTTCTTGCGGCAAATTCCACATACCGCATTCACCACACCAATAAGAGAAGTGCGAGAAACGCGATGATCATGGCGATTAATGTTTATGACCCATGGAAATCCAGAGCAATCATTGTGGATAGTGAAATCGCATGGAAGACACACATATGGGCTCCGGTCTCCATTTAGACCGCAAGTGGTACAAGTAAAAGATATGGATTTTGGCATAAGGGTGAGTTGATGGTCATGGATGTTTACGTCGTGAAGATATTGTGCTGGTGGATGAAATACACATTGAAGGTCTAAGCTAAAGTTACAAGTAGAACAATGATAAAAGACTTCAGAATTAGTAAGCTTTTCTTCACACAAACGACATTTTCCATCAGTATAAGTAGGTGGTTCACCCTTGAAGAGTTTTAGAGCGTGTAAGGAGTGGGAAGGATGTGTTACCTCTGCCGCATACTTTTCGCAATTTACATGAAACGTCAAATTGCATTCGTGACATTTGTACGAATATCCATCACCATCTTTTCCACAAGTACCACAAGTAAAGCAGCTTTCCACCATCTCTAGCTTGAGTTTATGTTCATGGTGCTGAGGAACATCAATGACCTCCCACGGTGGATACTTGGCACAGTTGAAATGGAAATATGAAGAACCAAACCTTCCTCTTCTTGTAGGTACTAAAACACAGTCGTTACATATATAAATGTAGCCATCGTAGATCTTCTCTTTACATCCTGCACATCTCCTTTTCCCCGTTTCGAAATTGAATGTGTGATAAAGAATGTTACCACACGTTTGAGAAGGGTGGGCGATATTGTTGGCATTGTTGGCGCATGTCTTGTGGAATAAACCATAAATACATGAGCTGCATTGGTAGCCATCAGTTACACCTTTGAATGTGAGTCCGCACCAATCACACTCGGACTCCATTTTCACAGGCCTTAGTGGATGCTCGTGGAACGGTATTTTAACTTTCAAAGGATCCATAACGTAACTATTTCAAGTCTCACAAAAAGGTTGAAAAGAGAAAACAGACAGAAATATAATCTTCAAAGCTCTATGCTCTTTTCCTGTAAAATTTTGGGCTTAGACTTCGCTAATCTCAAGTAATGGCGTGTTATATAACAATTACTACTTTAATATGATTTTTTTTTTTACCTCTTTTAATATAAATTATTATTAGTTTTTCAGAAACTTAAAGTAGCTACGGCATACTATTAAAATATAAAAGTTAGATCTAACAGGGTAACACTACCATGTTATATAATGTTAAAGTCAACGAAGCACGGTTTACATAGCAAATTATTACTTTAGTTGGGGTTTTATATAGTACTTTCTAAATAATCGATATCAAAATAATTTAATTTGAAACATTATAAATTTATAATACTAGTACTACGTTCAGAATCTGACAGATACCAACTAACAACCCACCATTATTATGTATCGTGCCGAAAATCATGAAGAGTTTTTTAATATGACCAAAGTATGTCATTAGACTTGGTCTATAGTTAACACTTCATATTATATATGACTTGACTTGGCAAATCGATTTAGTTTCTTGAGTCAATATTTATTGGTTTCTTTGTCTGCTATAAATTTTTTGGGTCATTAACAGATAATAACTTACATGGAAACGAATATGGAACTTAAGGGCATGTATAGGTCGTCAAAACAGTTTTCCAATCCAAAATGGACAAGTCTATATCAAAACTGTGGAATGGATTCGAAGAAGTCATCATCACCAGGTAAACCTGTCACAATTTTTTCTGTTTTGACGTATGAGATATATGAAAATAATATGGAGAATTTATGTATAACTTGTGATATATGAAATTTTCATATGGTGAGAAATGGTGGTGTATCTTTCCACCAGCCCACCACAGTGTGTTGTCTCAAAAAGTAGGGCATTGCAGAGTTCTAATAGTTGTCATCTGTGGGGACAAACATATGAGCCCATTGTGATCAAATACGATAAACTTAGTGGGCTAAATGGGCCCAATTATAACTTATCGTGTTCCAAACAATATATACAGTAAAACCTCTATAAATTAATAATGTTGGGACCATGAAAATCTATTAATTTATAGAGGTATTAATTTATCGATAAATTAATAATTATTAATTTATAGAGAGATATTCCTAATTTGGAAAATATTTTCAAAACAATATTTAAAAAAAAGATTTAATCATGATAATTAGTATTTTATATAATCAATTAAAAATAAAACAATAATTATTATGTATTAAAAGAGAATGCTAACTATTTTTCATATAGTAAAATATTAGAAATAAAATCTAACAAAAACTAATGTGTATATATATACATATATTTTGAAAATTTTACCTAATTATTAATTTATAATATTGATGGGACCATATATTTATAAAGGATTTTCCAAAAATTTATTATCTTATTATTTTATCGAAATGTGTCTAAAATTACACTGGTCCCAAGTTGGGACTGGAGAAATTTATTAATTTATAGAGATTATTAATTTATCGAGTATTAATTTATAGAGGTTTTACTGTATTTTTTCTTTCTTTCGTTTTGGGGCTTTATCGACCAATAGAGATAAATGTTCCTTATTTACTTAAATGTTTTGCAAATGGAGAGGATAATATCTAAAGGAGGAAGATGAGATGAGATGAGATCACACATGGGAAGTGTTTTCACAGAAAGAGATGGGACTGGCGAGAGAAGTATAGCCATAAGAAGCAACTTTAAGAATGCTGAGGTTCACAACAAAAGAAAGCTATCTTACACACACTCATTTCCCTCTTTTGTCTCCTTCACCAATTCCTCCAAATTTTAGATATTGACTTCACAATCATAGCATGAGGCAATCGTTTATTTTCATAAATTTAATCGTTTATATGCTTACACATGTTATGTATATGATTCTAATAGGTACACATCAATCAGTGGAGTCATTATTTAGTTGATCAGTTCATTTAAATTATGTTCACTCATGTCCTTCTCAATATAATTACTGAAGAATATATGTTATACACTTATACTACATTATCATCTTAAAATATCGAATATTAAATGTACATTTATAAGTATAACTATTTTTACAATATGTTGTTTAGTATTCTTTATCTAAAGGGGGCAAGTTATAACTATGAATTAAATGTGTAAATAGTTATATCGGTAGACTTTGGATATATGTCTACATAAGCAAATTGTTTTTTTTTGTCTAACCGCATAATCCAAACACTACATATTATCCAAGATTGATAGCCTAAGTCGTATAAGTTTAATTTTTTTTTTTCCTTTTTTGCTACAGATATTAGAGTACAATCTTTCATATATTAAATTTGATAGATGTTAGGTTAATATAACAACTTTGTATATATTAGTAAATACTTGGCTACTCGAATTGGGTATCCGAAAATTGTATTAATATTTTAAGAAGATGATTGCATGCATATTAGGGATTGGTTTGGTATAATTGAGATGTTGATGGAACTGTCCATTTTCCAAACCGGGGGCTCAAGTGTTCTTAACGCATCAGTATCAAGTTCTACGCCAGAAGACAAAACCCCTTTTCTAGTTATGTCTTTGTAGTTGTACAACGGGTACACACAGAAACCATATCACGTGTCATCTCCCTTGGATTGTCACCGCACGTGTGGGCTCGAATCTCATACTAACCACTTACTATTCGTGTCATGTCTATGTTTTGCATTCGTAACCATTTATTAAGGAATCTATACAACGTGACCATTGTCGACTTTTCTTCTTTATATTTCTCGCTACTTCTTTTTTTTTTTTTTGTTAAAACTAAATAAGTAAATATAGTTGCTATGTGCTATATAGAAAGACATCGTAAATTTCTTTTTGAGGTTTCTAAAGTGAAGTCTGAGGTTTGATTATGTGATCAAATCGGATAAAGAGGAGCCATCAATTTTAGGACCTTGGTCCTTGAAAGTATACAGATCTTTCAAGATGAAAACCCCATTAGTGTTTTTATTTATTTTATTTTCGGGACTAATCCTTGTCAAACTTTACTTGTGCATGAGCTATCTAATGTTTCGTTTTCCATTTTATTTTTCTTTTGCTTTCATGATTTATAGTAACATCCAGCCAAACTAAGGTGGATTCTAGATTAGACCAAAATTTATGAGCCCTAGATATTTATAACGCTGATGGGTAATGGTATATAAAACCAAATTGCTTGTGAGATATAGCATTTCTTTGACAATGATTTTCTTAGAAAACAATGCGGATAAGATATTAGAAATTCGCTTACTGGTCAAGTGAATTGTTGCACCATGATATCCTGATCCAAAACTATCTGCCTTTAATGCTCTGTCTCAAATTTCTAATAACAGAATCCAATCGAATTATGTCATCAGAAATTGATGAAATAGTGAAATTAAATTATTTTAGCTTTTGGTTGTGTGGCTCATATTAAATCTATATATACTTTAATATCCAGAATTCAATATTTGTAAAGAGGTTTTGTAGTGTTTTGGAAAATCTTGAAACTACATTTATCAACAAGTTTGGGATGAAACATGAAACCATTTATAAAAAAAACATGAAATTATAAAAAGTATATATCATATATGCTTTGAAATAAATGCCAAAAAAAAAAAAACTTAGAAACAAAAAAAAAAATCTAAAAACGATACTTAATTTGATTTAGAGAGGATCGGAGTACACACTACTACCTTCGTAGCTACCCTTATGAGATATTGAGATTGATTATAAATTTTTTCATAATCTTGACTTTCATAATGATTTATTAAAGGTTTAAATGTGATGGAGGAGTGACTTCGAAGCTCCTCATCAAAAGATAATGGCACTAACACATAACTCATTAAGTTACACTACGTACAATTGAAATCAACGGGATTACAAAACACACTAAAATAGCTATCTAATGATAACTTTTTAAAAACGGTTAAATTTTTTTTTTTTTTTTTTTAATTATTTCAGGTAAAGGAACTTTCCTAAAAACATTAATTGATAAAGATAACTTATATAATTTTCATGAAATGTTTACTTTTTTGAGTTTTTCAAAGAGCAAATTCGTTCCCCAAACAGACGCTATCCTAAATGGAACATATTAAACACACGGAACAAGTTGTGTTGCGTACGGTATTATTATTCATGTTTTGCATATACAATATTATGTCAATGGCAAATATATTAAAAATGTTTTGCATGTTGTGCATTTTGCCTAACGTTTATGGAACACACAAACGTTACGTACATCCCAATTCGCCGTTCTACTAATTCGTATTTCTTCATACTTATATGTATGCATTCAAATATAGAAATTTAATGGAGTCATGGGTGTTGGTGTGTGGTAACATTTACATAAACATAAGCATAAAGATTTTCAAAAAAATTGAACGAAAAAAATAAAAACACTCGAAATTGGAATCCAAGGCAACAAGGAGACTATAGCCCCACATTTATCATAATAAATACAATCAATTAATTTCCTCTACTACTACTACATGACCTTATCAGAAAAAGCTCATAAAAACCAAATGAGCCCACACCCTTCTCCTTCAATTAAGTTCTTCACCCACGCATTTAGTGGGTCACACTATCTCTTATGACTTGTGTCTCTCCAAAATTCAAAGTTAAAAACTATCTTAATCCACTAATATTAACTTATGAGTATATCGCATGATACGTTTACGACCCACGTATGTATATATATACTACGACCTTAGCTTATTTTAATGATGAAATGAGTTACATATCACATCAGTTGTTATATAAACCTAATTAAACACCTTATACACATTTCATTATATCATCCATCACCCCCTATATCAACTTGTTTCTCATTCCCCGCAAATCAAGCATAGAAAGAGACTCTTGGATCATCATCCCAAGTATCTGATTCTCAAGCCCTAAAAAAAAAGATAAATATGTCCATGAAAGGGATCTCTTCAGCAGAGCCAGATAAGCTCTCCAGGAGAATATCTTTGACCCACAAACGCAATTCTGGTGAGCTTGACGTGTTCGAGGCCGCTGTGTACTTCTCCGGCTACAACGAAGCCTCCTCCGGCGACCATAGAAACACACAAAAGTATGGCTATAACGCGGCCAGAGAGGAGAATCGTAGGAAATGGGGAATATTGGGAGGAGGAAGAAGAATCAGCTTGGATTTGCCAATTAGATGTTCAGAACAGGTGCACCATCTTCACCAAGATCATCATGAAGTTACAACAATCAAGGACAGGCTCAGTAACGTGAGACACAAGCAACCTAGCTCACCAGGTGGGAAAATCGCCAGCTTCTTGAACTCTCTATTCCATCAAGCAGGTTCAAAGAAGAACAAGTCCAAATCCAAGTCGAAGCCAACGGAATCCGAAGTGGAAGAGGAGGTCCCCGGAGGAGTATCATGGATGAAGAGGAGGAGAAGAAGCAGTATAAGCCATTTCTTGAGCTCAAGCAGATCTAATTCAACCACCACCACGACATCATCATCATCAAAATCTCTAATCTCGTCATCGAGCTCCGGTTTCAGAACTCCTCCTCCTTATCTCAACACTCCCACCAAGAACTACAAGCAGTTCTTGAATTACACTTCTGCCACAAAACAAGTGGTTGAAGAAGACAAAAAGACCAACAGAGAGTTCTCTTGGCTTGACGAGAAGCTCAAGGTGATGGAGAGCCTCTCGGAGAATCAGAGGAATTGGGCTGATGATGAAGATGATGATCGGAGAATAAAGAGAGAAGGGTATGATGATGGAATGGAGAGTGATTCAAGTTCTGATCTCTTCGAGTTGCAAAACTACGAGTTATCTCGTGGAGGCTTGCCAGTCTACGAGACTACCAATGTAGCTAACATCAACAACACTCATATATAATCCAAACTCTCTTGAGTGTACATCATAAACTCCATCAGATCTTGGTAATAATAACACCCATAAAACAAATTGTTTTTTTTTTCTTCGATTTGTTCTTTGTCTGATTGTTCTTCAGTTATATGTAATTCTTTTGGATTTCTTGGGTTTGATTGTGGAAGCTTTAATGGTGTTTTTTCTTTTTCTTTTTTTGGTATGAGAGATTTGAGCATAGATTTGATAAATACGTACCTAGTTTTCTTGTCTATCACATGGGATTTTTGTTTCCATCTCTTTTCGTATTTTTCCTTGTAAAAATAAATTTTGTACATGATTGTTGATATATTACTTATCTTTTTACGTGGTAATTTTATCTTAATTGAAATTAGAAAAACTTGTTGCACCGACCGGAAAAAAAATTGAGCTATATATATATGTTACAGACCATATAAAGAGTTGATAATCATTGGGATAAAGAAAGCATAATCAAAGTATTGGGAGCGAGAAATATTTTATTATGGGAACAATTTATAAAGTTTAACCGGCCGGTTAAGTTTTGGCTTGTTGTGTTTTAACTCTCTTGGACATTTGATGTTTAGTTATGAGTCCATTTTTTTTTGTCGTCGGTTACGAGTCTTGGAAACTCATGGCGCCACTAGTTTCTCAAATTAAATTTTTGTATCTATAACATGAGAAAAAGACAAGCAGACAACAATTGGGGACCAACAACGATCTCCACTTGCATCTTGTTTCCCTTGTCAGATTGTAATAATATATAGAATATTAGAGATGTTCCAAGCAATCAAACTAGTCCGGAGTAGGAAGATCTAATTTACTAGGTGATTTAAACAGTCGTCGAACTATTTAGAACACGAAGAATAAACACATCTAACTAGAGAAATACTATTTTTAAAGACGAAAACTAATCTTAAATAATATGAGATACGCATATAAGGTGATGTCCAAACAAACTTAAACCAGACAATTTATTGGTGAAGAATCTATTTGCATGATCATTCATAAAACATTAAAATATTATTATGATTAAGAACTAGCGATCAATATAATCTAGTATGCCTAGACGTTTTTTCATTGTTGTTGTCCTGTCACGAGTTGCGTCATGGAGTTTTGATAGAAATGACAAAGTATAATAGTAATGTTTTGGTTGAAGATTTGATATATCCTTAAAAAAAAGATTAGCACTATATTGCTTTTAGATCTAAATGTAATTAACAATTTAATCAAGGACAAAAAGAGATATATCCATCCGAAAGCTTTTTGTCATGCATAGATTGCGGTTGCTTTCCGAGTTTCGCATTTACTTATTATTAGTGCATGCATAAGTAAGGCATACGGAGTACTATCTATATAGATAGCCTTTTTTAATATTTGGAACACTACTGATATAGCCTTTCAAAGGATGATTATTATGTATGTCTATGGAATTATAAAACTACTTCCATTTGAAATTATGTTGTTTACTTTAAAAGAAAAATCTGATGAATTGGTATTTGGACTTCAAAAAGGATCATACTAGCTAGGTAGGCTAAAAAGTTATATCTAGTTAGTATTCATCTCACATACTCTGTAATTTAACGTATATGTAATTAGCGAGAAATAATGCTTGTACTTATTAGACCATTTAAAGTAGTTTTCAGAGAACACATTAATTTACGTAAAATACATGATATATAAACCAACATTAAGTAGGAGGGTGGTTTCTAATCTCTAATGTATTACAATAATTAAACTCATGCGTACTGGAAACAACAAAAGGAACCAAAATAATATACTCATGCTGGTAGAAACAATGATACATGTCACCAATATAGACAAAAGTTGGGTATATGAAATTTAATAAGTAAAATCTAGCTAGGCTCTAGTGGATGGAGGGTCCAAACATGTGATTATCATAAAGTTGAGGTAATTATGCAAAGTAAAAATGATATAATTATGAACCTTGCCAATAAAGACACTCACAAATAGTATTTGGAGTAGTTTTATTTAGACGAGTTAATAATTTTAACAAGTTCTGATTTATTCAGTTTCGATCGTTTATTTAATATATATAATAAATCCATGTGTATTTATTCGGTATAAAAAATGTTAATTATCATTGGGTTGGGGGATTAGATAAAACATGAATGGTTCACTATAAAACAAAAGAAAATAAAGTCTGGTCTTCAATCAAAAATGTAAAAGTTCAAAAACCTGAACTTTACATCGTTCACAAATACTATGATAGATAGAAATCATTACTTTTCTTTCTTTCTTTCTTTCTTTTTTTGTGTCGAACTCATTACTAATCTTTTTGGTGCACAATGCACTACTTCAAGATATATTTGCTTTAGTTTGTTTTTTCTTTCTCTCTTTGAGAAAACCATACATGTAGTTAAATGGGCTTGAAACAGGCCTCTATGTTGCGACGTAACTTTGATGGACTTTGCTTTGCAATCTTTATTAAGCTACATAAGAAATATTTGGCTTAGATTCCATCACCTGAATAACAAGTGACAAGTGTGGTTGGTTGGCCAACAAGATATGCTCTGGCTCCCACCAAAAAAAAATTATTTTTAAAATAAGTGCTGATTTTAAGAAAAAAAAAAGTAAAAGGGTTGATTTTGTAATAAAGCAAAAGGTTTGGGAAGCGTCAGAAAGCTTTGTCTTGTTGTCCCATACACGCTCCACCACCCAATCTCTTTAATTCGATGATTCCCCAAATATTTTATTTATTCTTTTTGCGACCCCAAAGTTTCTTTTTCTTTTAAGGAAATCCCCCAATACATTCCTTCTTCTAACTTATGCATCAATTTGGATTATTATTTTTCTATGTAAAACAACTTTTTTTATAAATGAAATTAAAAATAATAATAACGTTTCCAACTTGCCATATAAAATGGGAGAGATACAATTTTCGCCCATGTTGTTGAATTATTTATCTTCACAATTTCAAAGCCACCAGCAAACCAAATAATTAACCAGAAAACGTGTTTGTCAGAATATATAACCCAACATTATAAAACTTTCGATTAGGACGATGTAATCTTCATTATAATCTATAGCTGTGTTGATTATAATCAACATATGGTTATGTAATCAGTTTAAGTATATTTGCTCTATAACCATGTAAGACCATCAGCATTGGTGTAATACCAATCTTGGTCCCTCCATTATTTCTATAGTTTTACAATCATAGGACTTTTTAAAATTTTGAGTGTAGGAGCATTGGTGAACACGTCAGTTTTGGTTGTCTCTACAAAAAAATCAATACATGGCACCGTATCCGTATAATTATATCTCTTGTACTCATACATACGTCTAGTAAATACTAAATACAGTAACCACTAATCCAATTTACACACACTTTGAAAATCAAAATTTTACAGAATGAAGAATAAAAAATGAAAAAAAAAAAAGAGAGAGAGGGGAGGAGGATGTGAAGAAGAAGATGGGTTTAGTGGAAATCATGTTGACCCAACACAAACAGTATCTGCTTCGACGTCACCTCTCTCACCTTATTCCCTTCGATTCCCATTTTCACTTTCTTCTTTTCTATATCTCTCTCTGTCTCTCTCTTTGCTTCGCTTCGCTTTCTTCCTCGTATCCATTTACATACACACAGTTCTCCTCTGTTCCTCTAATCTCTGTAAGTTTATTCATATTCTTATTATGCTCTGTTCTTCTGTTTAACGATTTGGGTAACCTTAATTGCATTAGAGGGTTAAAGGGTATAAGTCGAATTAAACTTATATGTTCTACTGATGATCTTGTTGTTTGATTTGCGGAAAAAAAGTATTGATTTTTATCTTTGTTTCTTGTTAGGGTTTGAGTATTTTCGTCAATCACATCTGGGTTTTGGTCCAATTGAAGGAATCTGTGAATCGTCTTCTTGGGTTTTCTGAATTTAAGAAGAAAGCTTAGTACTTTAGGATTTTTATTCACTTATTGAATTGTTTAGCTGTAGTTGAAGGAAGCAGAACCTGATTATAGATATATATATAGTGCTTAACAGTTTTTACTGATGGATTCTTGGAGCTACGGGAGAAACGTGTACTTGGAAAATGGAGCTCTTTTACCTTCTGATTCTTTTGCTGAGAATAGAAAATTTGGACAGAGTCTCTCTAATGGATTGGAGAATGATGATCATGTGTTGATCTCTGACATGGCTGGTGATTCCAATGGATACGGTGCTGTTTCCATTACCAAAGTGGTTCCTTCGAATTTGTTGCATGAGGACGAGGAGGAGAAACAGGAGGAAGAGGAGAAACAATCTTCTTCTTCAAAGTTAACTAGTCAGGAATTGACTAGGATAGATTTTAAACTTAGGAGCTTTTTGGATTTAGGAAACGATGATGATACCTCCTCTAGAGGTTTTGCTCTGCCAGCTAAAAAGCCTCGAGCTTCAAACCTGTGCTCTCAGAAGCCCTTGTGTCAAGTTTATGGCTGCAATATGGATCTGACCTCTTCAAAAGATTACCACAAAAGGCATAGAGTTTGCGAGACTCATTCTAAAACTTCTGTGGTCATAGTTAATGGTCTTGAGCAGAGGTTTTGTCAACAGTGCAGCAGGTTTTGTTCTCTCTCCTCTCAAGTTGTTTCATGTTCTGTAGTTTTGTCAATGTCTTAACATATTATGAATCATGATCGTTTGTGTCTTTTACTTTTTTTCTTCTGGTCAGGTTTCATTTCCTCTCAGAGTTTGATGATGGCAAAAGAAGTTGCAGAAGGCGATTAGCCGGACACAATGAGCGACGAAGGAAACCTGCTTTCTATTTTTTACCCGGGAAGCGCCATAAGCTTCTTCGCACCTCTCAAGGTTCAGTCCCTGCCTTTTCCTTTCCATTTGTGTACATTTGAAAACAGTAAACTCTTGCAAATTTGAATCCATTCTGTATTTTACCATCTTCCATTTATCCTATATGGCTATATATATATGTGTGTCAATAGGTGTGGTTGGCAATTCATCAGTCAGTGACTTCTCGTTGGTCTTGCCAGAAGAGTTTCCCAGTACTTTCTTATACCGGGTACTGGATGAGCACGACCACCGTGCCAGTAGACTTGTGAGTTTCAAAGATGAACCTACTTGCTCTATGTTTCCTGCGATTGGGCAAAACAGCAGCAGTATTTATGAGTCTAAACCAGCGATTTATTCTCCGGAAGTATCCTCTATTTGGGACTTACATGAGTCGGCGTCACGGTCTACTTGTGCTCTCTCTCTTCTGTCAGCTCAGTCCCAACAAAACATCCCTGAAATTCCAAACACAACTTTCTCAATCACCCAACCCAACCAAAATCCCAATCACTCACCAGTAGACTATAATCAAATGCAACGGTTATGGATCGATCCTAGTAAGACCAATTCTGCTGGGTCTAGTTCATGTACACTAAAAGGATCATCCACAGTTGATCTACTGCAACTGTCATCACATCTTCAAAGAATCGAACAACAGAGGAATTATACTGATGATGTGAAGCAGGAATATAATGAGCTTTATTTCACTGGCTCCTAAAAAAAGGTGACAACATTCTTATTCCTTTGCAACCGGTTCAAGTTTCTTGATACAGTTCTGGAGAAGGGACAAGTCTTGCATGGTTTGATTAGTTTTGTACGTAATTATTGGATTGGTGAGATAATTAGATTAGAGGAATGAAGATCAGATCATGCTACAAGTGTTATTGTAATTTGTAACTGTTCTTGTTTATTATTCACCAGTCAATAAATGTTCTGAGGAAAAATAGCTTCAGATATCTATGCCTGCTTCTTTTTCACAGTGTTTCAGTCTTTTTCTGTTTCTTTCAGACAATTTGTATATATAATTGTAATGAATATTCGCTGAGAAAAAGTGAGATTTCACTTTTGTTTTGTTCTGTAGTCTCTAACACACTCACGTCATCTGAGATTCTCGAATTCGATGTTACGATGTTGAGAGTTGCAAATACTTTGGAAAAACATTAAGTGTCCTTGATGGAAGAGAGGAATAAGCAGATAGATTTTGATAGGATTAAGACAAATAAAGACCAGACATAAACGTCCAAAGGGACATAGCAAGTAACGTTACTTTCAAATCTAAGACAGGCAGAAATATAAAGTCATAAAAACTAAGGCAACATCATTTTCTGAAACATGATGACATACAAAAGAAGAAAATACACAACACACAAGATGGTAAAAACGACGCCGTAATGTAGCCACCCCCACACGTGCATGCGTTTTGTTGTTATTTTAGGCTTTCTTCCTCAAGTGACTTCACTTCTTCTCACCAAACCCCAAGCCCTAAAATAAAACAGTTCAGACAAGATGTTAACAACATTTTAAAATGGTTGTATAATTTATATGTGCAGACTGAGTTTGTATATATAGCTTACATGGATGTTGTGGCCTCCGGAAGTAAGGGAAGTAGGAGAGTTGGGTATGTACTTAGCCCACTGTCGTTTGTGACGTTTCACAATTACACAAACAAAATTGTTTAAGAAGTTAATATTTAACGAATCAGTGGTAAGTCTAAGTATCTAAGTGGTAACACAAAATGAGATAATTGTCTTACATTTTTGGCAGCAGCACTGAAAGCTTCACGATGTGGTATCTCCGGATTAGCACTTTTGATGCGTTGTATCTCATCCCTTTTATGTTGATGATAATAAAAATAAGAATTAACAAGAGTACATTATATATAATATTTATGCATAGTGAAGTATATGTCAAAGATTAACCTCATGAAGCGGTTGTAAGCTGATGGAAGTCTCTGCTTCTTCTCAGGAGCTGCAATATCAAAGATGGTTATAACTAATTATCATATATATATATAGAGCTAGCGAGTAAATTAATAGAAAAAAGAAGAAGAAGAAGAAGAAGAAGAAGAAGAAGAGAAGAAGAAGAAGAAGAAGAAGAAATGGGAATAATCTTGTGCTTAATTACGTTTAACGACAAAGGGTGGTGTGGGAGATGGTGGCTGGTCGCTGGAGGTAGAGGAAGAGGAAGAAGAAGAGCTTCCCTTCTTATACTCACTCCCACCAAAGCTCTGCATCTGATTAATTGCATAAAGTAGACATAATTAGAATACTTTTTTTACACATTATTGTTTTTATGCACATATATGTATAAAGAAATTAAGAAAGTGTTATGTATGTACCTGAAGGGTGAGGCTAACATGGCCTTGGAGAGGAGGGCTTGTGGTGAGAAACGAGAGGTTACCACAATGGCCGCACTTCACCGTCACAGTGTCAAGCATCCTCTTTAATGGTATCCCAACCTATATATGAGTGTAGATTAGGTTTACAATTAGCTCGAAAATTTGAAGAAATAATTACATAATATAAACAAAAATATAGCTTCTCGCATGCATGTGATATATTATATATCTACATATTCAAGGGTCATGCAAGTATAAATATGCTTGTCATGTGTAGGTCAGTTACCGCAAGGATAGTGTTGCAGATGCTACAGCGGACGTAATAGAGATGTTCAGCTTGAGGTGAAGCCTTTGAAGTCATGGTTGGTTTCTCTTCAAGGTTCATGATGATCTTTAACGGATGGATTGGAAAAAGTGCCTTTAACGAATGGATTGGAAAAGGTGCTCTTGAGAACGAGAGAGAGAGAGAATAAGAAGAAGTTTTGTAGAGTTAAAGGTTTTGGCTATTTTATGAGTTAGGAAGGTCTTGTATATATAGAACCAACATATAGGTGAGACCGTGAGACGATGTAAAAAGAGAGAGAGAAAGAGATGGATAGTCTAATTAAGTGTTAAACTATTATTTATTTTTAACAACAATTATAAAAATCTTAAACCAATGACATTTGGTGTACAAAGTATGTAGACACGAATTTTTTATGGTGACATTATGTTTTTTTTTTAAAATTTGTTGGATATATATATCTTCGAGTTCTCTCATCTACGAATTCTACTATTAGCTATTCTATTATGCAATCATGTAAACGTTTTTAAACAGACAAAAAGTTTGAACAACATGTTAATCTACATTTCGGCATTAGTTTTCTCAAGACATATAAAGTGATGAAAAAAACAAAACTATATTAAAAAATTTCTATGTCAAATCATATATGAATTAAATTAAAGGGACCGGATCTAGGGCTTTATTATGACTTTTATCTGTCTGTGTTGCTATACTATTACTGATGATGATAGTACATGCCTCCCTCTGCAAACTCTTGCAGACGTATTCAATTATCAAGACTCTCTAAATATCACTCCTCGTACATTAGTTTTTGCTATAAATAAGCTGTGCTCAATATTATTCATCCAAGGTTTTCATATAACTAAATATTATTCATAAAACTAAAAATACACCTTAATGATGTGTAATGTATACTTAACCCAAGAGAGGGGAAGAAATATATAATCTTTAACACTTTCATATATGGTGAAGATATAGAAAATTTAACCAGCATCTACATGTTCATCGTACATATGTTAATTGTGACACATATGAGATGCAAAAAGACAAAAAGAGATGACCAAGTAAGCTATTTTAGAAATAATACATGGTGTGAATATGATTACATTCATTCAAGTTTGATGCCAGCAGCAAGCCTTGACTTACCCACATGACGTTATAAATTATAAGAATGGTCCTTTCACTGATCCTTGATCTTTTTCTTTTTTTTCTCTCAGAATATTTTCACGCAAAAATGATTTCCCTGCCTTCACAACTTTTATCTTCATCGTGAAAATTTTCACTCAATTTGTATTGATAAGTTTAAATACAAAAAAAAGAATCTAGGGAAACAACCAAAACAATGGATCTCATTCAGACAATCCAACTATAGATAGATTGGACCCAAAAGCAGAAGGGATTCCAATCAGGATCTTTTCGATTTACCACTTTTATATTTTATGTGTTTAAGGATGTTTTGTAAACTGCACTACAAATTTTCTGTTTTAGTTTTTTTTTTTGGTAAAATTTTCTTTTTTAGGTTAAAAAAGGGTTTACATGTAAAAGTAAAGTTCTCTAGACTGATGGATTCTTAGTTAATCATTTTGACGTGATGAGACCATCTATAATTAATCTGATATGTAAAAAGAGTGATATATATATATATATATATAGTTCATTTTTTTTGGGAGATAAACACACGATTTAATTTATTGTTGAAATTGAGATAGAACAAGCATATTTGTTAACATACATACTAACGATAGGAAAGATAAATCAAAAGATTTTAAAAATTGTCAAAAAGAGAAATTTGAAAAGATAGTGAAGAAAAGAGAGAGCTGAAGAATGGATTCCATCTTTTGTGCATGCACTGCCCCACATGGAACTTGGAAGGAGACAAGTGATCAATCAAACGTCTCTTTCAATGGCTAACTTTTTAGCATTCTTTCACCCTTCTTAGATTTTCCTACTTCCACACACTTATTTAGCTTGCTTACAATTTTATCTGCTTAAAGTTTTCCTCTCAATGTTACAACTAATATATACATAGATCAAATATATATATGTACACCAGTCTAACTCTATAATCTACAATATATTACAACCATATGGTCTTGATTTTTTATCAACAAATGAATGGAATAAGTCTAACTCTGAAGATCTCATATATATGAGCTTAATATTATTTGTTTTAACACTTTGTAATCCATGCACAACGAACATCTCAAGTTTCTTAGGTATCCAACTATCCAAGTTCGCCAATAGCAAATGTCATCATTGGCATTAAGATCGATGTAAATGTTTCCACATATATATTATGGCCTGGCTCATCCTTGACCGAAGATGATTAACTGAAAGATTCTAAATGATATATATCATTTGAAACTAGAATGATAATTATATCGTGGATTAGGAATTCTGATAAGAAGATCGATATATATGTATGCATCCAAGAAAAGGGGATTCAAATTATTATGTTTATTACAAAAAGATAAAGGTTGGGGAGACTATATTATATTTATATGACTGTGAGAGATCGATGGGACGATTGCCAAAAAAGGGAAGAGAGCTAAGAAGAGATTAGGGTTTAGTCAGGTTACCATGCTCGTATAACTTCATTACTCCCCTTGCTCTCTCTTTAAAGCTTTGCTTGCTTTTACCCTCTCCTCCACCTCTCTAGCTATCTATCTATTTAATACACACCCCATTATTCATGCATCTCCACTACTTTACGTACACTTAGATACATTTATATATATATATATATCAATACTTTCATAATTTACTATATTTTTGTTTGTTTTTGTTTCTCTCCAATTAGAAAAAAACAAATAAAAAGAAGTCAAAAGGAAAGACCACCAAACCCACTTGAGTTTAATAGAAACACACAAAGCAAAGAAGCATCAAATCTCACATCACACACGTAGAGAGTTCTCGCTAGTATCTACTCTACTCTACTCATTCGCAGCTTCTTCTCTTCCTTTTTCCGGTATCACTCTCTTTTTGATTTGACTTGTCTTCTCTATTATTTATTACTTGTTTGTTCCTAATTAATCACTTAAACTCTCTTTATGTGTTTTCAATATAGACAACATAGCCTTTAGTTGATCTTTCTCGTACCAATCGTGAGAGTTCTCTTTTATCTCCCACCTCCATGTAACGTTATGAGTTGTAATTTTTGATTAGCCTAAGTCGTCTTTTTCTTCTAAACTAAAATTTTTTCACTTTTCATCATTGTGTAGGTAGTTTTTAAAATATATTTGTGGAGTATTAATTATATCCCAACCTAGATGCCAAAATTTTTTATAACACCCAAAAAGTAGTTCAAATCATGGTATGAAAATGATGGAAAAAATGAACGCTCAAAAATCACAACCTTTGACAAAAACTCTTAAAATTTTGTAAAGTTAGTATTCTAAAAATAGAAACTCCATTCTTAGCTAGTAATACCATTTCATTAACAATGTTACGATTGGAGGTTTGTATCATAGATTATGATAAACACTTACGTATAGTGTATAGTTGACCAAAAAAAAAAGAAAAGAAAAAAAAACAAGTATATTTTATATGATAAGTGAAATCGCAAAAAACAACTTGCAATTAACATACAATCAATAAAACAAATGCGTCAATGTTAGAATATACATAGTTTTGTTTTCTTCTTTTGTTTATTATAAGTCCAAATTAGAAAATGAATCCTATATAATGTACAGTTTCGGCCTGTTTATGATAAGAGAGATCCTACTGAAATATTTTGTGGGCTAAATAGAAAATCTATACATGATTCGAAGGGTAAAACTGTTTAGTCCTTAACTTTTAATCCAAATCATCAAAGATTATATGAACCACGGTTACTTAAAAAGATTAGTTGATTTACTCGATTAGTGCTCACGAGACTGATCTCAAACCACTATATATGGCTTCCACGCTGAAAACTGTGAATAAACTTTATAAAATAAACTAAATTTAATCCGGAAATACAAATAAAATTATTTAACATCATTTGTAACACATCCTCAAAAACCAGAAAAAAACTATTCATTTTTACGGCTTTTAACCAAATTTAACCTAAACCATTTAGTTAATAAATATGACAACCAAATTAATTTTTAGATTAAACCATAACCAAACCAAATCCGGTTTTTGGGTTGCAGTTTTTATTTTTACCCCTAGAAATTTCATTCATATATATAAGGAGAATATAGTTGTATATATATACAAACATGACATTTTCAAGAAATGCAATCTCACAAGCCTCTTCAGCTACAAGTCTTAACAAGTGACGGGAGTCGGCTCCAATAATCTTAACTTTTTACTCTAGTTGATTATTCATGTACAAGTTCCAACAATCTAATGCAAGTATAAGATCTTGTTTACTTTAGATGCCCAAGCTCATTTTAACCCAACACAGAATCATCAAAATCAATTTTGACATCAGCTTCTCTTTCTAAAACACTGTTTGTTGACCCGCGCGCATTAGATCTTGTTTACTTTAGATGCCCAAGCTCATTTTAACCCAACACAGAATCATCAAAATCAATTTTGACATCAGCTTCTCTTTCTAAAACACTAGTTGTTGATTTTTATTTTATTTTATTTTATTTTTATTTTATTTCTAAAACATCAGCTTCTCTTTCTAAAATTTTATTTTATTTTTTGTTATATTATGATTTTTCGTTGTTTTATTTTGTTTTGTTGGCTTTTTACTGTTGTTATTTTTTGTTATTCTATTTTTATATCGATTATTTTTCAATTTTATAGTAATTTATTATTTGAAATGTTTATTATCATTTGGTATTCGTCAAAGGTCGATGAAAGTTTATGCAATATTCTCTCTTTTTACTAAGTATGTGATTAGAGAGATAAAGTTTACGGTGTCTGGGTTTGATATATTATAGGATCTGGCTTGTTTCCCGTTTTTTCCTACATTCGAACCTGTGTATTCCGGCCAGTAGATTTGAAATCGCTATTGTTGTTGCAGATGTGTCGCTCTTGTAAACGATGGTTCTAAAAAATGTTTTCCCTGTTCCGTTTAATTATCCAGTTTCAAACTCGTGTATCCCACGTTTTCTGATTTTTTTAACCGATTTGATTGTTATGTGTTGGACCTCAGGCCCATGCTTTTTTAGATTTTGTATTTTGATTT